CTGTGGAAGGGCTGGAAAGTGTACTGGCTGGTACAGAATTGGGTGGACTATCTGTCTTTAAGGGCATTAAGTTTATTCTCCTTGATTAAAAAAAAAAAAAGTAAAGGGATAGATGGCTCATTAGTAGCACAGGAGTTGTTTATGTATGATACCCAAGTTACAAAACTATCAAAGGAAACATTTTTCAGCCAATCATAACATTCAAAGCATTAAACATAACAACATGCTCCCTTATTTAGTAACTAAGGATTATGTTCACGTACACAGCTAAACCATCACATTTATAAGTCAGGTTAAAACACCAGTCATCTAAAAGTTTCAAACTCTGTTTTATCCTTTACTAATGATATTCGTCTGCCGGATGCTATATATGTGTATGTATGTATGTCTCATACAAACGCACACACACATATAGCTATCAGACATAGTTTCTACATATGAGAAGTGCCAAACTATAGATAACTGTTTTTTAAATCAAGTCTTAATTTTCAACAAATATTTTTTTAATTACAACTGCATAAAGGTTGGTAAATACCTTAGAAGAAAGCAGGAGGGGAGAATCAATTTAATAACAAAAGCATTTCAAAGAATACCATCCCACCAAAAAAGAAATAGAAAAAAATTTAAATACATTGCTAGGGGCCAGCTGATGGCATGGTGGTTAAGGCAGCTGGCCAACCACCATGGCCAACTCTGTGGTTCAAGTCCTGGATCAATATCTCAAAAAACATGCCAGGCATGTGTTTGTGTGTGCCCATAATCCCAAAAAGAGAAATGGAGAAGTGATTGTGGCATGGCTATTTCCCATGAGGAGTGCTTTCTCACTTTTTCCTCTCTCTGTTTCACTCCAAACCCCACAAAGGCACATGCCCTCCAGCAAATTTAAAAAAAAACAAAACAGGGACCAGCAGGTGGCATAGTGGATAAGGCACTGGGCTTCAACTTGGTAGACTGTAGCTCAAGTCTCAGACCTGGTGGCTTGAAACTCAGGCCAGGCACATGCTCAAGATCCCAAGAGAATGGAGAAGGGACTGCAGTGTGGCCATCTCCCCAGTAGGTGATTTCTCACTTTCTGTCTTTCTCCTGCAATATACATCCCCTATAGCAAAATTTTCTCTTTAAAGAATAAAAAATAAATTTAAAAAAATTAAAAAGCAGGGGCTGGCAGAGCTGTGGTGATTAAGGCAGCTGGATTCCCACATGGCTGACCATGATTTGAGTCCCAAATCTGGCAGCTTGCTTTCTCACTTTCCTTCTCTCTGTCTCTCTCTCTCTGGTCAACTTCAAAAATACATAAATAAATAAATTAAATAATGACAATGAATAAGATTAAATAAAAATAATTCTTTAAAAAAACTAAAAACACTGATAGTCTACAGAAAGAAATTCCAGATTAAAATGACCCAAACTCTGCATGCACCAGAGACAGAGAGAGGAGGGAGTGAAACCCCCACACCTGCAGCAGCTGGGGGCACAGGCACCTGTACCAGCCAGACCGATGTGACCAGGGTGGAAGGACTACAGACTCACCCCGGAGGCTATCATCAGACCCAACCTCCTGCTGGAAACGTCGAGCAGTCCCAAGAGGATGATCCTTTGATTTCATACTTACAAGGAAGTGCCTGATACTGTCTTGGGCATAGGTAAGAAGTGGGGTTCCTAATCTAACAGGGAAAACAGATACAGCTAAAGGGAAATGTGGTGACAGAAAAGAGCTGAATGGTCACAGAGAGTAAGAATGAAAAAGGACATTCGAAGGGGCCCTGGGCCAGTCCTGTGGTCTGATAGTTAAGAGCGTCAGATCCCATATGGCTGACCATAGTTTGAATCCTGGCCCCAGGGGCTTGAAATACAGGCCAGGAGAGAGTGTGTGTGCCCCAAATCCTGACAAGATGGAAAAACAGAAGGGACTGTGGAGTGACCATGCCCCATAGGGAGGTGCTTTCACCCCCTCCTCTCTCTGTCTCTCTCTGGTGCATGCATATACCCTCAAGGCAATAAAATAAAGAAAAGAAAATGGTCTTTAAGGACTGAGATGTCGCCACAGGGATCACTTATCCAGGGCTTCCCATAAAAGTAGGCACAGAGGCCTCGAAGGACTGAGTCTGCCCTGAGAACGAGACTCTCTAGGCTGGGCCAGAGACTGAGGTACCTGGGACTTGAGGAAGTGGCAGCCAGTTCTAGATAGGCTGCAGCCACCTCAGCCCTGTGTGCATGGGGCTGGGCTCTACCTGACAGGCAGGAAAGGGAGGGACCAACAGAGGCCTACCAGCAAGAAAGCACCATTCTTGGGTGTGATATTAAACTGTCTCTGAAAGCGCTATAAAATATTTGCTGCATGGGATTTAGGCATAACAGGTTGGGGGTGTTCAGCTTGTATTTCGCAATGACAGTTTCTTGTTCACTCCGAAGTTCTTACCGGGGTGTTGTCTTGCTCCAGGCTTGCAGCGTGTTCAGAGTGACCCTGCGGGATGGGTGGGCTTTTGTGTTCTGACTACTGGGTTGAAGCGTCTTCTCCTCTGAAGGCCCTGGCAAGCAGCTTTTGGCTCCAGGAGTAGTCGGGGGAGTGTCTTTGATCGCTGTGGGGGCTAGAGGTGGTCTGGCCTGCGGGGGCGTTGTGCAGGGACTGCTGGGGTCTTGGGCTCTGCTGGTGGGGGTTCCCTCTGCTAGTCTGGGTCCTGGTGATGACCCTGGGTGTGTCTGACTCTTGGTTTTCTTTGTTGTGTCAGGAGTTCTCAGGCTTAAAACTGGCTTCTCTTTCAAAGGTATTCCAAGTTCATCTTTCTCAAATGTCACAAACGAACAATAACCATCTGTGGAAGAAATGGCCAGGAAGGCCCCATCGCTGGACCTATGTTCCCAAACAGGGGAAAAAAGTGAGACACTTTACCAGTGTCTACGGAAACCACGTTTAAAACTCTTATTACTAGTTAGAAAATGGAGTTCAACCAAAATCACAAGCTTTGGGCAGGCCCTATGGCCTGGTGGTTAAGGGAGCTGTATCTCACATGGTCAACTGCACAGTGGGAGTCCTGCCTCCCTCCTTCTGTCTCTGGGGAGCACACGTACCCTTTGGCAAGTTGAAAAAAAAGATTTGCAACCTCCTCCCTGTGCAGTTCCTTCCCCTAGTCCTACCCTGATTTTCTAAGTTACAGCAACATATCTGTGCTATTAGCGACTTTTACTCCCTAAGGTAAAAAGAAAATTAAAAAATGAAGAGAGTTACAAGGAGCAGGAAATGGTGGGTGACCAGGTCTCAACCAGAACTCAAGCTAAGCCATGCAGCTAGAGGAAACTGAACTGGCAACAAAAAGTGGCCAAGCACGTCCAGCAGCAGGGCAGAGTCCTGAATGACACCCTCAGGACAGGCTCAGCTCTGGCCACCTCTCCATGCTCTGGGCTGCAGGGGTTGGCAGGTGAAGGCTTCTTCCCAAGGGGCCTGATGAGTTCCTAAACTACCAGGGAGTCTAAGGGACTCCCCTCAGCTTATCAGAGTTAGATTAATCCCACAGCAATCTGAAAGGCATGAAAACCCACTGGTCTTGGGGCCAGCATATGGTGTAGTGGTTATGCCGCTGGACTCCCACATGGCCGAACATGGTTCGAGTTCCAGGCCTGGTGGCTTGAAAATCATGCCAGGTGCCTGTGCATGTATGCCCAAGATCCCAGAAGGAGGAAGGAGGAGAAGAAATTATGGTGTGGCCATCCCATCTGGGGTGTGATTTCTTACTTCCCCTCTCATTGTCTCGCTCTCCAGCAAGCACATGTGCCCTAAGGCAAACAACCTCTAAAAAAAAAGAAAAAAAGAAAGCCCCCTGGTCTTAAAATAGGATGCACGTACTGTGACAAACTAGAAATGGCTTTCCTTTTAATATTGATTCCTTTTAAAAAGTTGATGAGTAGGCCAAAAGGTCATCTGTAGTGATAAAATACCCTGAGCCCCGGGGTCCACCCCAAGGCAGTGCGCACCCTGACCCCGACACTACCAGCTACTCACCAGGAAATATCACTCAGGGTGTGGTAGTGGATGTTGGACACGTAACCAAAGGGGAAGAGCTGCTGGGTGTCATAGAGGAGCACAGAGTCCTCTGAAGCCACAGCAAACACCAGGCGGTAGGGCAGGCTCACTAGCTCCGGGCCTCGCTCATGGGGGGTCCCGTCTGCAAGGGGAAGCAGGGACAAGGTGAAACGACACATACAAAACCCTGAAGGACGAGAATTACTATTTCTCCCGAAAAGCCTTTTCCCATAGAGATTTTACTAAAAACTAGTTTGCTATATGCTTTATAAACAAATTCAGCTATTGGGCCAGCCCATGGCACAGTGGTTAAGCACAGAGTATAGACTGCCAGAGCCACATAGTCAAATGTGGCTCAAACCCCTGGCCTGGTGGCTTGAAAAACACATCAGGCACATGCATATATGTGGCCAGGTTCCCGACAGAAGGGAAGAACAGAGGAAAGAATTGTGGCATGACCATGCCCCCGTGGAAGATGCTTTCTTTCTCTACCCCTCTGATGAGCACATGCACTTTCTGGCAATTTAAAAAAAAAAAAAAAATTGAATTCAGTTCTTTAGGTTTTTGTTTTGTTTTCTATTTCCCAGTAGGGGCATGTGCTCACTGGAGAAAAGGACAGAGACAGATGGTGAGAAAGCATTCCCCAGAAGGACTGGTCCTGTTGTAATCCCTTCTCCTCCATTTCTCCCTCCTTTCAGGATTTTGGGCACAATGTCCAATGCACCCAATGTGTTTCTCAAGCCACCAGGTCTGGGATTTGAACCACACAGTCAGCCACGTGAGATCCAGACACTCTAACTACCATGCCATCGGCTGGTCCTCTTTATGCTGCTTTACATATGAATGCATGAATCAAAGAGAACCATGCAAGAACCAGTGAGGACAGCGTGTCATACACCAAGAATCGTTAAGTACCAAAGTCCAAAAAAGGGAAAAGAAAAGATGTGGAATAAGGCAAGTTGATCAAAGATGTCACTTTCCGACAAGGGAAAACAAGGGTTTCTTCAAAATAGTTTATCAAGTTATAGTTTAATGCTCTGTGAAGGTAATTATGTTCACTTATATATAAAGCATTAAAAAGTTAAAAACAGGCTTCTACATTCAACCATAAAGTAACAGAATCTAGATTTACCATCCCTAAAAAAAAATCTGAAATACTAGGAAAACATAAAAAACAATCATTCCTTTTTGAAGGTTTTTGCCATAGAGTGTGTGTGCTTGCCAGAGAGACAGTAAAAAGGAAAGTGAAAAATGATCCTCCAGGAGGAATGGCTATGCCACTGTCCCTTCTCCTCCATTTTCCTTCTGGGATTTTGGGCACACATGCACACATGCCTAGCATGATTTTCAAGCCATTGGGTCTGGATCCACCACGTGGGAGTCCAGCACCTTAACCATCACACCACCTGCTGGCAACAAAGGTGTTTAAGACACTGGCCATCAGTACTGAGGACAATGATCCCCGAGAGACAGGAGGCCCATGAAGCATAATTACCTCTACTCATTGCCCTGGGAAGTCACCAGATGTAGGAGAAATAAAGGGAAACTCAGACTTGTAGGCATCCTGAGCTGAGAAGACAGAGCTAGGTGTCCAAAGAGGCCAACATGGTTGGAGTTGATAGGGCAGAGGACCAGAGATAGCAGAGAAAGCACCAGAGCTACAGAGATAGCACCTCAGAGATCCTCTGGATTCCTCTGAGCTGACAGCTGAGTATTAAACAGTGCATGCATGTGAGGACACTGCCTGAAGCTGGAATAAGAACTACCAGAAAGGAAGAACAATCCCTGAAGATCACACAGGCCAGAAACCGCATGTTCCCAGCAACCAGAGTGGAAACCCAACTATTTCACATGGCACTGATCAGGGAACTCAGAAGGCTTTGCCCTATGAGTAGGGAAAATTAGTCCTAAACTAAATGCTGTTGTGATATTATCTAACAAATCTTAAAAAACAAGACTGAGAAGAATCAGCAAGTTTCTTGGTATCTATATCCCAGAATAAACTTCAAAAACATTTATAAGAATGAAAATACCATGTACCATCTGCTAAGATAAAATTCACAATGTCTGGCATCAAACCAAAAATTACCAGATGCTGGACAATGACATAACAGTCCTTAAATAAATAGTTAATGTTCTGTAAAGCTGACTCACACTGGAAGATTCTGAGTTCAGGTCCTAAGGCCTCCCTAAGACATCACGGACACACATGTGCCCATGATCCAGGGCTGGCTGAAGCTGGGTATGGTACATAGAGTCAATTCTCGGTTGGAGATATTGTCTCTCTGTCTTTCAAGAAATAAAAAAATAAACTTAAAAAAGAAATACAAGAGGGAACCAGCAGTTAGCGTAATGGCTATGTCGCTGGACTCCCATGTAGTCGACCGCAGTTCGCGTCCCGGACCCGGTCGCTTAAAACTCACGCCGGGCGCGTGTGCGTGCGTGCCCAAGATCCCCAGAGGAGAATGGAGAAGGGATTGCGGCGTGACCATCCCCCCTGGGGGGTGATTTCTCGCTTTCTGTCTCTATGTCTCTCTCTGTCTGTCTGGCGAGCGCATGCGCCCTATAGCGAAAATCTCTCAAAAAAAAAAAAAAAAAGAAATACAAGACATGCAAAAGAGTAAGATAATATGATCCACAATGAAGAGAATAAACAGAAACAAAACCAACCTTCTGTACACAAGGACATTAAACAGAATTATAACTGTAGCCAACAGGTAGCATGGTGGTTAAGGCACTGCATTCCCACATACATGTCCAACTATGATTCAAGTCCTGGACCTGGTGGCTTGAAAATCACGCTGGGCATGTGTGTGCAAAATCCTGAGAGAAGAATGGAGGAAAAGGGATTGCAGTGCAGCCATCCCTACTAGGAGGTGATTTCTCACTTTCTCTCTCATCTTCTTTCTTCCTAGCTAGTGCACACATACTAAGGCAAAAACCTAAAAAAAAAAAAAAGTAACTGTATTCCATGTGTTCAAGAATCAAGAGGGGAAATGGAGGGTATTTAGTAGAGATATGGAATACAGAAGACCCAAACTGAACTTATAGGGATGAAAACTAAAATGTCATAGATGAAAACTACACTGAATGGGACCAAGGGCAGATCACACAGAAGAAAAGATTAGTGAACACAAAATACAGCTATGAAAACTTTCAAATAAAACACTGAGGGGAAAACTAAAAAAGCATAAACAGAGAATCTGTAAGTGATGGCACAACTTCAAACAACCTAATACATGTGTAATAAGATTTCTAAAATAAGAAACATAGGAGATGACAGAAAAAAAAAGAAATAATAATAGTTGAAACATCTCAAATTTGATGAAAACTATTAACCCAGAGATCTATGAAGTTCAGTAAACCTCAAGCACAAGAAACATGAAGAAAACTGTAATAAGCTTATCTAAAGCCACTGACAAAGAAAGAAAATTTTTTAAAGCAGCCAGAGGGAGAAAAAAGTTAAAAAAAAAAAAAAAAAACTTAAGATAATTTCTTTCCTTCTTCCTTGTTCCTTCTCTCCCTCCTTTCCTTTCTTTCTTTTTAGTCTTTCGATATAGGGTGGTGTGCTCTTGCTAAAGACAAAGAAAGAGGGAAATTGAGAAATCACCCCCTAAGAGGGGTTGTCCAGGAGCTGGCAGGTGACATAGTGGCTAAGGCGCTGGACTCCCACATGGTTGACTGCAGTTCAAGTCCCAGACCTGCGGCTTGCTTTTCTCATTTTCCCTTTCTTTCTCTGTCTCTCTCTGGTCAAATTTTTAAAAATAGTAACAATAACAAATAAAATAGAATAAATAAGTAATTCTTTCAAATTAATCCAATTCATACACGATTTTACTGTACACAAAATTATGGGTCCAGCAGAGCAGCAGAATGGTCAAGTGCTGTGTGGAAGGAGACAGGTCCCACATGGCCAACTGTGGTTTGAATACTGGACATATGAGCACGTGTGCCCAGAATCATGATGGGGAGGAATGGAGGAAAAGGAACTGTCACAGGCCCAGGGTCCACTGTAGAGGCACTCTTTCTCTCTCTGTCATACACACATGCCTCTGGCATTATAAAAAAGAAAAGAAAAAACTAATGACATTCAACCAGTAGAAAAACAAAACTAATTTTTATATACCTTTCAAACTGCTTTAAGTAAGAAAGTGTATTTTGTATAAGAAGAAAACTGACAGGCCAGCTTCATAGTCTGATGGTTAAGACAGTCAGATCCCACATGAGTATAGGTGGTTTGAGCCCCAGATCCAGCAGCTTGAGAAACATGTAGGATGTCTGTGTGCCTGCCCAAAATCCCAAAAGGAAGAAGAGATGGAGAAGGGATTATGATGTGACCATTACCTATGGAGAGTGCTTTCTCCTCTCCCTCTCTGTCTATCTCTGTGAGTTCATACACCCTCTGGCAAAAATATTCAATAAATAAATAAACAAAACAACTGACAAATACTTTGGTAAAGTCAGTCTTTACTCCAGCTTTTAAGAATAACTAAATGAAACGAAACCCACATACTCACCTTTCCCCAAAAGAGAAAATCCAAATCACCACCCCCACCCTGGTAACCTGCCACAGAGAAATAAAGCTCACAGTCGCTGTGGCTCTGACGTACCTGTGGCCACTACCGGCTTCAATTCGAAGTAGACAGGACAGCAGCGGACAGCAAGTGTTGCTTTTCCAGGACATGGAAGATGAGCAATAGGCCTAAAAGATTAGTCAGTTTTAGAGAAAGGTAATTATGCAGGGAAAGCAAAATGAAAGGGTAAATGTTTCAAGTATTTCCTCACGTACATACCTTTTGAGATTTTTCCTGGCAAAAACATAGGTTGTATTTGTTACATTTTCACCAGATTCCACACAGCCAGCTGGGGGGCAGAGAAAGGGAAGGAGAGTTAGTGTTTTATAAACTGTTCACTGACAAAACCTCTATTCTGGTCTGTAAAATACTTTTCCCTAAAGATGCAGTCTCTGGGGACCAGGTGTAATGGCTATGTTGTTGGACTCCCATGTAGTCAACCACGGTTTGAATCCCGGACCTGGTGGCTTAAACTTATGCTGGGCGCGTGTGCGTGCGTGCCCAAGATCCCGAGAGGAGAATGGAGGAGAAGGGATTGCAGCATGGTCATCCTCCCTGGGGAGTGATTTCTCGCTTTCTGTCTCTCTGTCTCTCAGGTCTTTCTGGTGAGCGCATGCGCCCTATAACAAAAATCTCTCTCTCAAAAAAAAAAAAAAAAAAAAACCTCACAAAAAAAAAAAAAAAAAAAAAAGGTGCAGTCTCTGAACAAGGTTTTGGTGACTGAGGACAAGTCCGAATATTCTATCATGGGATGGCCTCAGTCCTCTACCTCCCTGTCATCTCCATTTGGGACTTGGCCGTCCCTGGGACCAGTCCTGATCTTGGGCAGGGAGCACAGAAAGCAGAGTCCCTGCTATGAAGCATCTTAGCCTGAGAAGTCAGCAGCTCCTGCTGGGGAAGAGCTGCGACCACATCCAGTCACAGTTCCACCTGGGACCCCCAACTCTCCATGCCCTGGACACTGACTGCAGTTGTCATCTACAGGCTGAAACTCGGGCCTTTTCCCGCCTGCCTGATCCTGTCACGAGGCTGGCAGAGACCTGGCCCTCTGCTGAAACCTCCAGCTCCGCAACACTGACTCTGATCCAGGAAAGTCCCCACAAGAGAGCTCTTACACACCCCTCCAGAACACCCTTAAAACTAGGTCAGAGCCTGTTAGTGACTGTCATACACAGCTCCTGAAAACGACTTCCCGTTTGGTTGATACTTCCTTTCCCCCTTTCTTTAATATCAATGGGTATATATGCCTGCCAAAAAGAGAGAAAAGCACCCCCATGGGGTATGGTCATGCTACAATCTCTTCATCTCATGAGGATTCAGAGCATGTGCACATATGTGCATGTTTTTCAAGCCGCTGGGGCTGGAATACAATTGTGGTGGGCGATGAGGGATCCAGGTCCTTCCACAGTGCCCAACCGCTGTGCTATGGGGCCAGTCCTATGTTCATGTTTCTTGATACAGAAATACACAATCAATTTTACATGGAACACTCAGTATCAGCTGGGAGGGGGGTACTACACAGTATCAGTAGTCTTTTCTTTTTACTATTACATTTCTGCATACCTACTCTCTCCTAATCTTTCCATTCCCAAATAATTCATTTTAACAAAATAACATTTCTGTATCTCCTTCATGCTCACATAATCATTACAACCAGTCAGAACTCAATCACACATATATACATGTGTATATATGTATACATACACACGTGAGCACCCTGGTGTGATTTTCAAGCCCCATGGTCAACTTGAACCGCAAAATCAGCCATGTGAGATCCAGTGCCTATCCTCCACACTGCCAGCTGGCCCCATATATTTTTTTAATTGCTAAAGAACAAGTGCGCTTATCAGAGAGAGACAGTGTGAGACAGAGAACGCTCACCCCCAGAGACGTAGGGTCACACATCCCTTCTCTGTTTCTCCATCCTGTCAAGATTTGGAGCATACACATACACATATGTGCCTGGTGTGTATTTCAAGGTGCTAGGGCCAGGATTTGAACCAGACAGACATATGGGATCTAGCTTCCTCAACCACCAGGCTACACGGTCACCCTACCATATAGTTTAGTCTACTTTACAAAAAGGGTTATTATTTACACTAATTTTGCTGATCTCAGTCAAGTACACCTGAAAGCCTTAAATACTTTTAGTAGTTGCAGAATATTTACTGGTATGAAAATACCATAATCTACTTACATGTCTTACTAGAAGGCATTAGTTTGGAGAGGGGAGGGATCAAGGGAAAGAAAAAAAAACATTGAACAGACACAAAAATCGAAAGTATCTGTTGATGACAATGTGTATGGTAATTTCTTTGAATGGAGTAGCATACAGGGTGTTCATGATAGGGAAAAAAATTTTTTTAATGTCATTACTTTTATTTTTAATGTCCAGGGTTTGTAAGATGAGGCCAGAGCTTCCCTCCAGACAGAAAAATTTTATGAATTCTCAATTGGCTGGTGAGGCCAACAGGGGTATTTCTTCTTGTCTAAAGCAGTTTCTGCAAAGACTTCATTCAAGTCCATAATGGTCATCTGATCAAATGGAATTATGTTCTTCATCTTCTCCAGCCATTTCTGATATTCTTCAATCCTGGCCTTTGAGAGTGACCCAAACTCAGCACAACTTTTCACATCTTCCTTTTCTTTAGCGACCTCATGGACAGTGTTTTATCCTCTGGCATTAAACTTCTCAAAGTCATTCACGAAGCCCGCCTTGGCCATGCTGGCCTTGTAGTATGCCCAGTCGATAGCTGGTAGGTTCTCCGGTAGTGCAGCCAACCTGGAGGTGAGGGCTCGTTCCATGTTTTCAGGGAGTTAGCAATCGCCTTTTGGTTTCAGGGTATTATTTCCCCAAAAGCTACCCAGTCAATAGTTTTTAGGGCAAGTTTTCGCCCAGCCATCTTGCAATCCTTCACCAACCCCAGTGGCATGTGATCCAGAAAAATTCATTTTCAATGTTGCAAAGATATACAGTGACTGGATGTAAAAAATAAAAAAAGTATTACTTTGTTTTTTTTGTGTTTTTTTGGAGAGGTTTTACCACTATAAAAAATGCTTGTGATAAACAGCCTTAAACGTATGATCTTACCTACTTTGCTTTCATTTCTTAAGGACCTAGGTCTCATTTGAGGGACAGATGGCTTGGACAATACGTGCATTTAACCACTATCAGATTGCTCTCCAAAAAGGCCATTAACGATTCACATTCCCAGGCTGGCCTCAAGATACAGTGGTTAAGGGAGCTGGATCCCACATGGCTGACCATACAATTCAAAATCCAGCCTTGGCAGCTTGAAAAACACAATGTATTTGCATGTATGCTCAAAATCCCAACAGGACAGACAGATAAATGGAAAAGTAAGGACTGCAGTGTGACCACGCCCATGGGGGCGCTTTCTCCCTCTTCCTCTGTCTTTCTCTAAGCACGTGTGGCAAAAAATAAAAATAATTTACATTCCCAACAGCAATATCCACGTTCTGCATTATCTGTCACCCATTGGTATTACATCACTTTAATTTATATTTATCTATTACTGGCTGGCTTTCAGAATGTTCCTGTACCTCTTGAACATGTAGATTTGCTCTTTTACAAACTGCCTTTTCTTGTATCCTTCACTTATTTTTTCTCCTGGGTCTTTCCTGTTGGGTTTTGCTGCTGTTGTTCTTGTCGATTGGGAAGGGACTGCTGCATAGGACGCACATTATCCCTCTCTCCCCTGCACTACAAACATTTCCCAGTTCCCGGTTACTGACTTTGCTTACTGCACTTTTTGCTACACACAAGTTTTACCTTCAAATACAGTCAAATAGATCTGTCATGCCTTTAAGAGCTTCCAATTTTCTAGGGTTAGCTGCATCTTCCCTATTCCTAGGATGTCCTCCTAGATTTTGAGAGTTTTATATTTTTATCTTTCATATTTTAGTATTGAATTTGCCTGATATTTACTTTTATATATATGTAAGTTACCAGTTCAATTTTATCTTCTTCCATACAGCTGGTTAAGGCAGTACCAATCATGCAATAATATACCCTTCCCTTCAAGAGATCTACCATAGGACATGGTGATATGGTTAATAATAATATATTGTGCTCCTAAAAACTGTCAGGAGAGTAAATAGAAAGTGCTCTCATCACAAAAAATCATGTGAGGTTGCGCATATGTCAGTTTGCTAGATTTGTTCATTCTACAATGTACATGTACTTCGAAAAACATCACGTTGTCCACAGTGTATACAATTTTATCTGTCTATTTAAAAACAAACAAAAAAATGTGAATAGTCTTGGCTAACCTCAATATTTCCCAGCCTCTTTTATAATATATTCTTGTCCTATTCGCCAAGAGTATATAATTCTCTTGAAAATTATTTAAGTGATATATAATTAATCACAAATTAGGTCCAGCTTCAGTGACACAGGCTTCAGGATGCCACTACACAGCACTGGAGCCATCTGGGAAGGCCTGGGGCTCTGATTCCCAGCGATCTGAACACGTTGGCCAGGCCTGCAGGCTCACCAATGATCCTGGTTGGCTGGATGGGTGACAGGGAAGACTGTGGCATGGCAAGACTCGAGGATTTGTATTCTTCTCTCTCTCTTTCTTTCAAAAAATAGATGAAAGGATAAAATTAAAGATAATGAAAATAATAATTGCAATACATCTTCCTACTGAAATACCATCTGGGGTTACATATTGTCTTATAGTTTGAGATCTATGTCTAGGTCTCTGCCCTGGGCCAATCATCAGTTGGTTTAGTCCTATGCTGGCACCACAGTGATTTAAAAACAGTTGTGCTTTAGTGTCTTCTGACAAAGGGTGAGGCAAATGCCTCTCAAGTACTATTCTATATATATATATTTTTATTTATTTATTTATTTATTTTTGGAGAGGTTTTTGCTATAGGGTGCATGCGCTCGCCAGAAAGACAGAGAGAGACAGAGAGACAGAAAGCGAGAAATCACCCC